TGATGATCCATAGCCCTTCTGAACTCTCAGGGCACCTAACCTCTGCAACTATTTGGTCACCAACATATCACATGGTATGTCTCCAAAACAAGACTATATCACCATTCAGGGCTGATATAGTTCTTCTCTAGCCCTAGATGCTTCTGTATTTCCAAGGCATCTTGCACTGTGATGACCCAAAGGCACATGTGCCATTCAGGCTGTGGGCTGAATTCAAGGCATCCCTCTGACTGGAAGTGGGTGCAGGCAGCCCTGGCCATGGGCTGGCTGCTCACCTGACCTCTGCCCTGTCCTGCCATGCCTGAAGATCAGGACAAAGACACTTCCATTCAACTGGTCTTCTGTCTAGAACAGAAGCTCTGCTTTGAGCTCAGCCCTTAGTTTATGATTCTCAAGAAGCTGTCCTCCTACTCTTGCTGTTTTTCATGACACTTATGTAATCACAGATTATATTTAGTCTACAGTCTGAGGCTAATGAGATAGGAACCACCCAGCACAGTCGGTCTCCTCGAAACCCAAATCCAATGATTGAACCTTATTGTCCACAGTTTTTTGTAGTATGTGCTGTTGCTGAAGGTCCTCTCCTTCTAACCTATAATGGGTTCAGTACATCTCAGTTCCCAGACCAGAGGTAGATGGGAGTAAAAGAACCTCTCAGCCCTGGGCCAATGCTGGCATGAGGCTGCCCCCTCCTGGCCATGGGAGTCTCTGCAGTTCAGGCCTGCCTCTTGGATTAAGGTGCAGGATGGATCCCAAAGGGCACAAAGGCAAACAAAGGACGCCCTGCAATTTCGGGGTATTCCCTTCTAGTGCAATCTGGAACCTGCTAACATTGTCCTCCCAGTTTTCTTCTAGTATCCCTACACCCAAGGTTGGCAATTTCCTGTTGCCACCACTACCTGGAATATAGCCGGTTGTTGCTATGGTTGCTGTTGCCATAGGCAATATTGGCATTGGCATTGTTGGTATTAGCACGAGCCAAAGTGTTAGTCCTTGGATCTTGAGGGAAGTCCTCCAAGAAGACAGGTGACTCCAACTCCTCCAACTCTATCTCAGAAAACTGGAGTGGTCTCTGGTTGGCCATGACAGGGGGCAGGGAGTTGGTCCTTTCCAGGAAGTTGTCCACCTGACCAAACAGGCCTCCGGTCCTCTAGGGGCAATGAAAAGAGCAATGACTGAGGGATGAAGGCAGGACATGTACTGGGGGGCTGCCACTTAGGATAATGTTGTTGTGAACAAGTGATGGTATTAGAAGACACATCCTCTAGGGCTAGAGCAGAAAGGACTGAACAGTGAGACCCGAAGGAGAAGAGAGTCCCCACTCTCAGGAAGTTCTCAATTTGACGGGGCTGGGCTGATAGGACTTGCCTATGGAACCATACGGAGGACATGGACATACAGATAAGGACATGTGTACAGTAAGTGGAGCCCTGAAGGGGAGTCTGCAGAACTGGGTTCTGACACAAATTTACTAAGCAATATTAGACGTCTAAGTTTGCTTCTTTGGGCCACCATTTCCTGATACATGGCCTGAAAGGTGTAACTAGGTGGTCATTAAAGAACTTCCAGCTCTAAAGTGCTGTGAGAAACACTATGCCAGACTGAGGCCTGGCATAACGAGACTGGTGGGACATTTGATCTGGGGGCCTCGGGGTCTAGAATGCTGCCTTTGGTTTGTGGGAGGGAGGAAAGAGGTGAAGTTTGGCAAGGGACAGGGGAAAGGGTCTGTTATATTTCACACCTTGAGGAGGTTGGATCACGGAGCTCTAAGAAAGGTGGGTGGAGAGGCAGAGAGGGGCATCTAGCCCCACATGCCCCTTTATATGGCTGGGCTCCTGGCCTCCTCTCTGAGACATTACCACTCACTGTGTCTACAATATTAGGCACCCCCCTCACCCGGAATATTCCCTCCTCCATTGCAGCCTCCACCATGGCTCTCTCCAGCTCCTCCTCAGCAGTCAGGTCCCCTGAGATAGTACGGTGGATCTCAGGGGCTGCCTCCTCCTCAATGGTCCGTAGTCCAGCCTGGTGATGGCAAGGTGACACTGTTACTCCTTAAGTCCTGGAGAGGAGACCAGAGCTGCTTCCAGGCCCACCCATTTCAAAGCCTTGTATCCAGGGCTCTCTGGAAGCCCCAACTCAGGCTCCAATCTCACTCTGGCTCACTCAATGTGAGCCCTATGAGATCACCAGGCCCTACTCTGGCCTCTGGGATAGCCCACACAATAATTATTCCTAAGGTGTCTTTTCTTGATGCCGTGGGTGGGGATATCTTAGGCTACAGGTTGAGAATTCTTTTTACTCAGTACAGCCTTCTAGACCAGTGATCTCTTTTGATTATAAATGCCATCAATATAATTTTTTGATCAGATCAAAGCTCATATCACCAGAAGTGAGACAAATCAATATTGGTGTCACCTGAGAGTTTGCAGTGAGAACATAGCATCCCTTCTGAAGCATTCCTATTCAAGATGCATATCTTAAATCTAGATTCTCGCCTGAGGAAACACCAGACCAACCCAAACTGAGGGACAAACTGGTCGGCAATCTCTAAAAGCACTGATATTGTCTCAAGGAAAGAGTAAGGAGCTGTTCTAGAGGGAGGAGACTAAAGAGATACAGCCATTAAGTACAAAGTGTGATTTTGGATTGGATCCTTATGCTATAAAGGACATTTATTGGGACTATTGGTGAAACTTGAAATGGATAAGAATGTGGTAATATGTCAATGTTAATGTCCCCATTTTGATGATTACACTGTGGTTATGTAGAAGAATTATGTAAGAGAACAACCTTATAATACACATTATGCCTTGAAAGAGCAATTAGAGTGTTCCAGATGATGGAACATCATGGCGGAATTACTCTCACCCAGTTCAGAACAAAAAAATGTTTTTCTATTATACTGGAAATTTTTAAATGTTATAATAAAATGATAGTTCAATCAATTTTTGAGTACACAGCCCAAATTCATGTGTCCTTTTGGAATTTATAAATTTTGTGCATTATAATGAACACTAGAAATAAAAACCAGATGAGATAAACAAAGCTCTAAAGTTTTCTTTTCATACCCGGTGGAACACTGTAAGTGCCCCCTGGGGAATCTGCTTTCTTTGGAGACCACTGCTCTTAATATCTACTCATCTCTCTTGTGACCAAATCCTATTTTCTTTGGTCTGATCATCCAGAGATGAAGAGCTCCTGGTTCTTCTCTTGAGGTTGAATGTCCTCCATTGTGGGCCGGCCAGCACTGTCATCTCATTGCCTCACTCTTCTGGGCTCCGTCCTTTCCTATGTCACCATCATTGGCCCTTGAGGACCCGGAACAGGAACTGGAGTCCGGAGACCTGGCTCGGCAGGGGAGCCCTTGGACCTTACCTGGATCTGTACAATGTCCTTCTTGGGCCGATACCCATAATATTCCTCCTGGCGCTTCATGAACTTCCGGAAGTGCTCCTGGATGAGGAACGTGGCGTAGAACTTCCCTACTGTCACCTCATCATCTATAGGACAACCAACAAGAGAGGTCCTGAAGCTGGTGGGGATCTAACACTGGATTCACAGTGGGTCCAGGTGTAGCCAGGCCTGGGCACCCAGCTTATCCCTCATCCTACTGACTCAGAGAGTAGGCACTTTCACCCTGAGGCAGCCCATGGGGTCTACCTAAGGTTTCTACAGAAGGGCTGGGCCACCCTCAGGTTCCCATGGGGCCACCTGGAGAAACCTCCTGCCTGCTTCTCTCAGTTGCCTCTGGACTCTGGTTTCTCAAAGCAGCACCCACCTCCTATTGGGGGGATGACCTGGTCCAGAAGCTTCATGCTGGTTCTCTTCCAGATCTTCTTGATAATGGCCCTCAGCTCCTCATTGGCCTGCTCAAAGTTACCTAGGGCGAGGGAAAGGCAGGGGAAAGGAAACCTGCTCTCTGGCTGTCTCAGACTCCTGCAATGGTCCTGATGTGGTGATGGCCCTGATGCAGTAGAGCCTGACTGAGGGCTTGGGGAGAAAAGCAAGACCCTACCCTGACGTCTCCTAATCACACCATGCCTGTCTCCCTGGTTCTCGAGGACTTACAAGTTTAGTGGAGTCCAGTAAGGACTCCTATCAGCTTGCCCAGTGCTCTCACCTGAGTGCGTCCTCTGCTCCTGCCCAGAACTAAATTCCCTCCCCTGTCCCTGCTCATGCACCTAGGACCTAGCACTGGCCTTCCCCTATCCCAGTTCCACCCATCCCTAAGCTAGCACTGGCCCTCCTCTGGTCCAGCTCACCCACACCTGACCTAGCACTGGCCCAGCTCTGTCCCTGCTCACCCACCTAGGACCTAGCACTGTCCCTTCTCACCTAGCCCTGGGCTGGCACTCGCCCTCCTCTGTCCCTGTTCACCCCCACCTGACTTAACACTGGCTCTCCCCTATCCCTGCTCACTCACCCCTGACCTGGCACTGGTCCCCCTCTGTTCCTAGCATTGTCCATTCTCTGTTCCTGCTCACCCACCTCTGACCTAGCCCTGGTCCTCCCTTGTCTCTGCTCATTCACCCCAGACGTAGCACTGGCCCTCTCCTGTCCGATTCACCCATCCCTGAGCTAGCACTGGCTGTCTTCTGTTCCTGCTCACCCACCCCGACCTAGCACTGGCCCTTGCCTGCCACTATTCACCTACCCCTGTCCTAGACTAGTCCTCCACTGTCCCTGCCCCACCCATCTCTGCCTAGTGCTGGCATTTCTCTGTGTCTCCCACAATACAACTGAAGCGTGTGGGAACAAACCTCAGTGACCTTTGCCCTGCAGAGAACTTTCAGGTTCCCTCTGAGGCCAGAGGGGCAAGAGGAGTTTGTGGCCATGGTCTGGAGTCCTCTCTCTGCCTCTCCCCATGGCCTAAGTGCAACCATGAGCTCTGAAGATCTGGCACAGTCTGTGTTGGAAGCACCCTCAGAGAGAAATAAGGGCTGCACCTTCTGGATGGCCCTCACCTTCTGTCTTGATCTTGAGTGCCGTGCGGACCAGGGCAAAGAGTGTGGCATTGAAGGTAACTGTGCCATCGCTGTTCAGGGGCATGTTCATGCCCACCAGCCGCTGTGCAGGGAGAGGCAGTGGCTTGCTCTGAGCTGGGACCAGGCCAAGCTTGGCAGGTCATCCTCACCCGGTCTGTGGGCCGGGAGGGGATGGGACATGAGGGCTGGGAGTGCCAGCTGTTCAGGACTGCCCTTTGTGAGGGGATGGAATGATGAGTGGGAGGGGACATAGTTAAGATTTTAAGTTCTCTGGGAGGGACTTGGGGACCAGGAAATCACTGTCCCATGTTCCTCTTCCTCTCCCAGGGGCTGCTTCTCCCTGGCAGCTCTGCTTACCTTACAGGCCACCCGGTGTGGGCAGAACTTCCCAAACCCCAGAGGGGGCTGGATCCTTCTCAGGAGGGTCACCACATCCAGGTGTTTGATTCTCCCCCTGTGAAAGGACAATGGATTTGTTCAATGGGCAGCCTCCCCCCAATACCCTGCTCAGAAAATGGACAAAGGGGAAGACAGCCAGACGACAGGGGAACACTTCCTAATTTTCCAACTGTGTTTAGGAAGTCAGAGCCCACCCAGCTCCTGTTTAAAAGAGAAGGCAATGTTTGGATTCATTATTGCTCACTACCAGAAATTGGCTCTCTTTTCTAGGGCACTGTCTTGGATATGGGATCTCCACATCTGGAATCAGGACCTCATTTTTCCCACCACAAGACCTTTCTTAGGTTCTGGTCAAGGTAATGGGGGCTTTTGGACTCTATTAACAGAAGTAGAGGGTATAGATCAGGGGAGGTGGAAGCCCCTCTCCAGAGCTAGAAAACCACATTTTTATTGGGACCATGACCCCCAGAATAAGCTTAAATCAGGGCACCCAGGAAGGTGAGATGAAGAGTTGAAGAAGGCAAGAGGAGCAAGTCAGTGTTGTGTGAGGAAAAAACCGTTTTGGAGGGTTCTATTGAGTTCCAAATGGCCTAGATATGAGAAAGAGACTGAACATTTCCTGCTCTCTCTGGAGGGCTGCGTTAGGACTTGTGGGTGGCAGGTAGAGGTAAGTAGGTTTTGATCTGTTTGATGTAAGCACTTCAAAGCACAGCTGCTAAGGGCACCAGACAGACCTGCACTGAATCTTGGTGCCACCTCTTACTAGCTGCATGACCCAGGGTAACTTACTTAACTTCTCTGAGCCTGTTTCCTCATCAGAGACTGAGATGATCAGGAGACCTGTGCCATAGGCTGTTGCAAAGAAAGACTAAATGAACTAATACTTGCAGTGTTTAGTACAGTGTCTGATGCCTGGGAAATATTCATGAAATATGGGCTCGAGATTTTGAAGGGAGGAATGCAAGAGAGCAGGGCTCCCCAAGTTTAATATACGTATGAATGTCCTGGGATCAGGTTAATAGCAATGCAGATTCTGATTCGGTCTGGGCAGGGCTTGGACTCTGCATTTTAATCAAGCTCAGATGCTGCTGGTCAGTGGACCACACTCTGAGTAGCCAGAATGTAGAGTGCCTGAGTTCCCCACTCCTGGGAGTGTCGGAGCAGAAGGTGGGTGGTCATTTGTCAGTAAAGTCAAGGGGGTTTCCACTCGGGGAGGCTATGGAATTCCTGAAGGCTCTGACTCTCTGATCTGGGACTTTGGGTAAGTGCAGTGGGGAGGAGAAGCTTATTCATTAATCCTGGAGAGTAACTCACTGTGGGACGCTAGGACAGGGTCCAGGATGGAGGGGTGAACAGTTTAGAGAGGGCCCAGCACAGAGCCTAAAGACTAGACTCACTTGGCTTCAGGGTCATACTCTGCCCAGATGGCCTTGAATTCATCCAGGTGATGAGGTCCCAGGATGGACCAGTCCCGAGTGAGGTAGTCAAAGTTATCCATGATGACAGCCACAAAGAGGTTGATGATCTACAAGAGGAGAACCAACGGTTTCCAACACAGAAAGGCAGGTGGTACAGAGGTGGATGGGGAAACTGGGAGGTGGCCACTAGACTCCACAGCCTCTCCCTACATGTGCCCTCTGCCCCAGCCCTTCTGAACAACACACACTCATACACACACAAGAAACACTGTGTCTCATTGCTGCACCCTTGCACAAACAGTGCCCTCTGCCAGTGGGGTTGGTACTTAACTCTTCAAAACCCAGCTCAAGCAACCTGTTAGGAAGGTACTCCAACCTTAGCCTCCTGCCTGCCTCCCGGAGAGATGCTCTTCCTGTCTTTGTGCCCACCTGGACCAAGCCCCTGTCACTGTTCTTGCCTTTTATGTATATATTGGGTGTTCCTTTGAATTGCAGGTTTTTATTACACACAGGCTCCCCTTGTACCCTATGAGGTCCTGCAGGGCCAGGATGGTGTCTTAGTCATGTTAATAACCCCTGCACCAAGCCCAGCATCTGGCATACATCATATGCTCAAAAAACTCTTTCGAGTGATTATAAGAAAGAAAAAGGTTTAGGAACAAGGGCCCAGTGGATGCTGCTGGCTGTTTGCTTCCTGTTCAAACAGATGACAACCCTGTAGTGTCAAAATGGTCTGGTGTTCTGTTTTTAACCCATGCAGGGATTTTCCATGAGAGCCTGTTTCCAGAATCTCACTCCTTCATAATGGAGCAAAACTTTCTCTTTCAAAGCATGGCATAAGTGGCTTTATAGGAAGCCCCTATCTACTTAGGGCAGAGCCTCATTAAATTCCCCTTAATTACTGATCTCTAAGCAGAAAAAAAAAATTTAAACAGTAAAAAACTTTTGATAACCCCTCTGGGGCACGAAGAAACACTCACAGAACAAAGCCACATCCAAGATCACCAGAATAAGAAACAATTTGACGGCTCAGCGCCCATGGCACAGTGGTTATGGCGCTGGCCATATGCACTGAGGGTGGCAGGTTCAAACCTGGCCTGGGCCTGCTAAAACAACAATGACAACTGCAACAAAAAAAACATCTGGGTGTTGTGGCAGGCTCCTGTAGTCCCAGCTACTTGGGAGACGGAGGCAAGAAAATCACTTAAGCTCAAGAGTTTGAGGTTGCTGTGAGCTGTGATGCCATGGCACTCTACCGAGGGTGACATAGCAAGACTCTGTCTCAAAAAAAATAATGAAAAAAAGAGGGTGGCACCTGTGGCTCAAAGGAGTAGGGCACCGGTCCCATATGCCAGAGGTGGTGGGTTCAAACCCAGCCCCAGCCAAAAAAAAACCAATCTGACTAGAGCTACCTGCATCCCTGAGATGGAGGAAGAGGGCAGCCTCCTCCTGCCTCAGCTCATGAAAGCCTCTCCTTAGCCCAGGCCCTGCCGGTGTCTCACCAGGAAGGCACAGAGCATGTAGAAGCTGATGAAGTAGTAGTAGGCGAAGTTGGTGCCGCATGTGTACTCCTCCCCTGGGGCATACTCTGACTCTGGGTCACACAGCTTCCCATAGCTGCAGGCCAGCAGGATCTCCTGCCATGCCTCACCTGTTGCACACCTGGAGGAGAGAGGTTCCTGTTACCTGTTCGCTCTTGTGCAAACCCTCCGGAGGCTGTCGGCCTGGTGGGAGCAAGGTGTGGCGTGATGAGCAGAACGGGGCTGCTCCCCAGAAGTAGGGAGGTCAGATCTCTGGGTTCACTGAGTTGCTCAATGTGCTCTGGGCCTCAGTTTCCCCTCTGTGCACAGTCCCTCTGCTCTACCCTTATGGGTTGCTACAAGCAGGAGCTAAACTTAGAAATGTTTTCTTAGATAGAGGGACAAAATAGATTCATGTCACTGGAGGGGAAGCAGCAAGAGAGAGCACTGTGCTGACCA